GTGTCACATTTTTTTTATTCATATCCAAGACTAACATTCTCAAGCAAATATTGTTACGCTAATCAGTAATAGCCAAGTAAACCAGAGGTTTAGAAGAAGCGATTTTATTTATCTCTCAAACACAAAAGTAGTAAGGTATCTAATAGTAAATAAATAAATAGCTTCTATCTATGAACTTACTCTGACATACAGAATAGCTAAAAACTATACTATAGGTTGCACTGAAGCATTACATATATTGTATCAAAAGAATACTTTTAACACACCTTCATTAGCTTAACCTGTATAATAATATGTACTAGAGGTCCCGCAGTAGTCGAAATTCGACTATAATTAATTGGAATTGTAAGTTTGTACACTATTATGATTGTATTTTATACGTCTATAATCACAAATTTCGCCAAGACTACAGTCTAAAAAATATTAACAAAGACAAACAATATTTAATCTCAATTTGACAACAGACGTCAAGAACAAAAGTTTGATAATAAATAGTGTGCATGCGTGTGTGCGTCAAGTACATGGTATGTAGTGTGTGTAATGTTTTCTTTATTGATTTAATGTATCTTTTATGCATTATTTTAAAAAAATATTAGCATTGTGCACTTCTTCTCTATATTCTCTATAAGTGTGGAAAATTTCATACTCCTCCGTCCGCGCAATTTTCGTAAAAAGGGATACAAAGTTTTTGCTTCACGTATTAATATATAGAATATCATCGAGTTATGATTTTATTGAAGTTTAATAACTACATTTAATCACTTAAACGTTTAGACCAAATTATTAGTCTTATTTGAAATTAATATTAATGAATATACGAATATTAATTGAAAATATAAGCACTGGTACAACAGAATGCATTAGCGCGACCATATTGATTTTGTTGAAGCCACACAAGCGATCGATTAATTTGCATCTATAACGCGTACCGTTCATATATGCGACCTTCTGTGTACAGTGAGCTACAAAAGTCCACACATAGAGCAGAAATAAAGGCATGAATCTACATCTGTACAATTAGCGCCATCTGTTATTACGGGGGTCATTTATATGGTGATAGTATAGTATACCACAGAGCGATGGTTGTCCACTGAGTTTCTCGCCGGATCTTCTCAGTGGGTCGCGTTTCCGATCCGGTGGTAGATTCTGCGAAGCACGGCTCTTGCTAGGGCCAGTGTTAGCAACACTCCGGTTTGAGCCCCGTGAGCTACACGTTAGGGTGAAGCTTAAATAGCCTCTCAAGGCTATCACTATAGGTAGAAAAAAAAAACAGCGATGGTATCGTAATATATTAAGTGTAATTTTTGTTACAATTTAGTGCAATAAAATTTAAATTTGAAGAAATATTCTACACGTGCATAATCACTAACAACATAGGTTAGCGTTGTCCGACTCTCATACTAAAAATAACTAAATAGACGGCAACAAAACAGGCGCGTCATCCCTCCGCAAATTAGAATTGCCTGTGCTATGGGTACCGGAACCTAACATACATACTTATATATGTTTAAATATATACACACTAGCTTTTGCCCGCGACTCCGTCCGCGTGAAATAGTTACTTTGGCACATAACACTAAATTTTACCCCCCCACTTCATTTACGTAGAAAGTGAAAGTATTTTGAAACATTGTTTATCCGTGCTCCGCTTGTATTAGTTTTACCGTGATGTCATATTATTATAGCCTATAGCCTTCCCCAATAAATGGGCTATCTAACACTGACAGAATTTTTCAAATCGGACCAGTAGTTCCTGAGATTAGCGCGTTCAAACAAACAAACAAACTCTTCAGCTTTATAATATTAAGTATAGATTTAGACAAAAACCAAACAAAACTGTTCATCACACGAATGTTGTCCCGATGCGGGAATCGAACCCACGACCCTCGACGTAACAATCAGGTTCGCTAACTACTGCACCACCGAGGAGTCAGTCAAACCATATAAACTAGAATTCGAAGTCCTCATTCGATGTAAGTCTTCAAAATTGTTTATATGCTACAATTACCACTTAATAGAAGCAGGCTTTTGAGATCGTTTACCTTTCTAGCAATGTGATATAATGTCCGTATGAAAGGCTATTTGGTTTAAGCAACATATTTGCAAATTTACAGAAGAGCCATTTCAAAATTAAAAGTTTTTAAAAAAGATATCTGCATAAATAACTTCTTCAGCTATTTGAATGGAGTAAACTTATTTGAAGTTCATTTTTTTTATTGCATAGATTGGCGGTCGAGCTGNAGATCGTTTACCTTTCTAGCAATGTGATATAATGTCCGTATGAAAGGCTATTTGGTTTAAGCAACATATTTGCAAATTTACAGAAGAGCCATTTCAAAATTAAAAGTTTTTAAAAAAGATATCTGCATAAATAACTTCTTCAGCTATTTGAATGGAGTAAACTTATTTGAAGTTCATTTTTTTTATTGCATAGATTGGCGGTCGAGCTGACAGCCCACCTGGTGCTAAGTGGTTACTGGAGCTCATAGACATCTACAACGTAAATGCGCCACTCAACTTGAGATATAAGTTCTAAGGTCTCAAGTATAGTTACAACAGCTGCCCCACCCTTCAAACCGAAACGCATTACTGCTTCACGGCTGAAATAGATAGGGTGGTGGTACCTACCCGTGCAGACTCACAAGAGGTCCTACGACCAGTAATAAATATTAAAAACATCGAATTGTTAATACTAATACCAAAAAACACGTGTGGCACTCGGGGACTGCCGCGGTAAAGCTATTGTATAGGATTTTTTATCAATTTATGCAAATATAATTAGACAATAATAATTTAATATTAAAACAATAATTAAATAAGACCACGCTATATTTATAAACATTAACAAAAGCAAAACATTAACTATCCCCTTCACACTCATAAGCTAGACCGCGCGAGAGGGAGATGGGCAGACTTTTCATGATGCGCATGCAGTGCGACGTCACGCCGCGCGCTTATTCACAAACACTACACAGGCGCAACGTTTGAATGTGTTGAACGCGAGCTACATGGTAGGCGGAGTGGGGGGTGATAGGTTTTATTTTCGTTACGAAATTTCTTGATTCGGTAGCCGCGCTCAAAGCCCGCGATAAAAGCTATGCAATAGCTTAAGTATGAACTGACATGTCGCTTAAACGGAATTGCCTTTTCAACCCTTGATATAAGTAACTCTGATCTCCAAATTTCCGTAATGAGAGTGATTTACCAAGAAGCAAAGCGTCACTAATGCGTATAGTAATTACCGTCGCTCGATAAGCGATAAGTGGGCTACGGAACTTCATATAGACTAGCGAGCTGATAAGGAATACAACGATGATGTAAGTTTTAAGGCGTGACTGTTGCTATCACGAACCACGATCTCCCGTTTTGATTTGATATCGAATATTTCTAATTAGAACTCAATGTCTAGATAATTAGAGCGGTTATTCGTTTGCTTAAATTGTTGTGCCTTCTTTTTGTAAGCACCATTGGGCAAGTTAATTCAGTAATGCAATAAAAAACTGACGTAAGAGCCAGCCCATTTTTGTCATTGTGTGATCTATATGTGAATGATAGAGCACGTTTAATCTTAGCATGTATGTGTAGAGATATAAATATCGAGTCTCAGTGACAGACAAATTTATTAAACTGTATCTATCACATGTCCGATTTTCTTGTATCTAATAAATTAATCTTTATTTTGTTCGGAAACATTTTTGTTTTATTATCAGATATCTTTACGTAACTCATTGTGGTAATAAAATTTTGTAAATGAATTAAATATATAATTTACAAAAAAAACAGTACGTCAAAAGAAATCGGCGCTATTTGTGGTTTTAGGTCCTCAGACATTGGATGGGATCTAGATGGAGAAACCTTACATGCATCGTGTCAAAAGTAATCATTTTCTATTCATTAACTCTAAATCGTGTAATGATTATTTGTTGATTGAAATTTACCACTACCACTGTCGTGCACAAACACCTCTATACTATTATCAACAACTACAGATCGGCTAATCAAACGTATATTTATAAAAAAAAGATAAAAGCGTGAGATATTTAAAATACATGAAACAAATATAATATGAGATATTAAACGCTAACACGCGAGTAACGTAATAGCCGCAAATTGTATTAAATTTCAAGGCACCCCGTGCTGAGCTATTCCGGAATCATGCAGCGTACAATGATGACCTTAAAAATCATAGGAAAACGGTTTATTTTCGGTTGTAGGTCGCGGCTTTGATCTGACAAAGAACCCTCGGTTGGAAGAGACTCGCAGTCGCGTGTGCTCTTAACTTAATGCGGGTTACATCTCGTTCCGAGTACTCTACACGAGTAACAATTGTATGAGAGCTCTCAAATTATAGGAATGAATTTATGTTTTACAGGTGCGAAGGATTCTCACTTGTTAACACTTTTAATTTTGTGGAACGCTTTGCTTGTAATAGCGATTTCGAGTCCACTAGATTTTCCAACTTTTTAAACGGCTAAAAAAGAAAGACACGTCGCAGTATTAGTAATTTTACAAGCAAAACATGAGCGTTTCTACAACTAAAAATATAGGACGACGGTTTTATATTATAACTTTACTGAACTAACTCTTTTTTAAATATCGGAATATATTTAGATTGTTAAATTTTGTAGAAAATCACAAAAAGTGCTTACGATTATTATTTTTTTAATGCTTAGATGAGTGGACGAGCTCACAGCCCACCTGGTGCTAAGTGGTAACTGGAGCCCATAGACATCTACAACGTAAATGCGCCACGCACCTTGAGATATAAGTTCTAAGGTCTCAGTACAGTTACAACGGCTGCCCCACCCTTCAAACCGAAACGCATTACTGCTTCACGGCTGAAATAGGCGGGGAGGTGGTACCTAGCCCTGCGGACTCACAAGAGGCCCTACCATTTTAATCGATAATATTTTAATCAGAAGAGTATCGAATAGAAATAATAGAAACTGATTAAAAGATTAAATTTAAATTACAAAAAAAAAATGCGAAAAGAGAAATTCAATTTACAAAAAAATCATCAATCCCTACCGATTTTTTTAGGTGACCATTTTTCTAAGCATGATCGAAATGATAAATCTTCTAAACTTTGAATATAATTTGAAATTACATGTTTCATCAGCAGATTATCGTCTATCCACTAAACACGAGAATTAATAGATTTGAAATATTCATGACATCTTGGCTGTGACGCAGTGAATTTTATTCCCCCATGACAGATTTTTCGCCACATTAAAAACTCTTATGGAACCACCTCTGTTGCAACTTGTTCAATTTCTAGATGAAAAATTCATAGAATATATGTGCAACGATTAAGGCAATAATTTAACTACCAAGAATATAACTGTAAATTCACAACAATTTATTGATTAGTGTTAATTATTAGTGACGTTAAAATCCCAATCTTGAAAGCAATTAATTGTCAATTTGTAATTATAATCTGTGATTGAGTCAATCGTAAAGTGATTAAAGTATAAATTTTGTGGTAAAGTGAATTAGGCCTAAACCGATCAAGTTAAGTCTCAGTGCATAAAGTGTAGCAGAAGTGGAAATCAAGAGGCATTATCTCGGTATCAAAATGGCGTTTGCAGCAGCTCGTATGATCCTGAAGGATAAAAGACGGAAGGCTTCTAAGGAGGACTTCAGGGACCCAAGAAACAGAAGCAAGGTATTGTATTTATGTTAATTGTCACAAAAAATATGGAATACTTAACCTCTTCAAATGTTCTTCTTGTCAGATTCTTTACCTATTTCTAATCTAACTACTTTTATTTNTCTCGGTATCAAAATGGCGTTTGCAGCAGCTCGTATGATCCTGAAGGATAAAAGACGGAAGGCTTCTAAGGAGGACTTCAGGGACCCAAGAAACAGAAGCAAGGTATTGTATTTATGTTAATTGTCACAAAAAATATGGAATACTTAACCTCTTCAAATGTTCTTCTTGTCAGATTCTTTACCTATTTCTAATCTAACTACTTTTATTTCAAAAACTACCCTCATTTTACGGGGCTCTTATTTACAGGCTTTGATCTATTAAAATGTCGACTTTTTACCGAACTCTGCTTTCCAAACAATACCATGGAAACCGGGATTAAATTTAGCTGCGGAGGCTTTCGGAGCAAACAGAATACGTCGGTGATACAGTTCGTTCGGAAATTGCTCATTAAGGCACGTCGGTAGTTTCCTAAGCAAGGTGATTGTTACACCGAATTGTATTTTTATTCTCGAATATTCAACAGACAGTGATGAAATAGCGCTCCGATAAGTTTTAATCACCATAATTTTAAGCAGCTTCGAAATTGGCAACTGCTTATCAATATGTTATCAAAATCGGTGTTAGATCCAACCAAATGACCTTTCACCCCTCAATATAGTTTTAAAAGACGCCAAACTAGCAGTTTTGAGATATTTCAATTATCACGAACCTTCAAAATTCTTGTTGCGAATCATCTTATTATTGATCACTACGGTATGAGTGACGGTCTAGCAAAGCAAGGGCAGTTTGCGTTTGATCGTTCTCAAACAGAAAGTTGTTATCTCATGCAAAGTTGTTATGCTCAGAGACACCCTAATATAGCTAGCTCTATTACATGCCTCTTCGATACTTCGTGAGGACCAGTATGCTTTCTAATTTTTCGGACTTAAGTACTCCGTAGCTTGTGGTTTGCCCAAACATGTTAACGCGATACAAGGTGACACTTTACAAAACTTGCATTAGGCCCGTAATGACTTACGCGAGTGTTGTGTTCGCTGACGCGGCCCGTACACACATAGACACCCTCCAATCCCTACAAGCTCGTTTTTGCAGATTAGCTGTCGGAGCTCCGTGGCTCGTGAGGAACGTCGACTTACACGATGACCTGGAGTTCGAGTCAATCCGAAAACACATGAAGTCAGCGTTGGAACGTTATTTCGATAAGGATATGCGTCATGATGATCGCCTTATGGTTGCCGCCGCTGACTACTTTCCGAATCCTGGTCACGTAGGAGCCAGTCACCGTCGACGCCCTAGACACGTCCTTACGGATCCATCAGATCCAATAACCTTTGCATTAGACGCCTTCAGCTCTACCACTAAGAGCAGGCATAGGAACCCCGGTAGCCGCACTCATAGAACTCGACAAAGAGTTCGATGTGCAACTTAAACCATGCATCAGCCCGCTGAGTTTCTCGCCGGATCTTCTCAGCGGGTCGCGATTCCGATCCGATAGTAGATTCATTCGCGAAGCAGCTGCACTTGAGTTGTTAGATCTCCTTTGGAGGCGCTCGGGCAGCTGTTAGCAGATCCCACCCCTCCTGGCTGAGTCTTTGCTCGGCTACCTGTCCTCTTGAAACTGGAAAGGTCTCCGGATCATCTGTAATCCTTCAATCATAAAAAAATCTATATCTATACTATAATATTATAAAGAGGAAAGATTTGTTTGTTTGTTTGTTTCGAATAGGCTCCGAAACTACTGGACCGATTTGAAAAATTCATTTTCCATTAGAAGCTGACATTGTCCCTGATGAACATAGGCTACTTTTTTTTATTTTTATATTTATTTATTTTTTTGGTTTCATGTGTGTTTTAATGTTTCCGAAGCGAAGCGAGGGCGGGTCGCTAGTAAAAAATAAAAAGACTGAATCATGTTACACGAGTCTAGCGAAAGTCCGGTTAATTTCCGGAATGTGACGCCGCACATTCATCGCTGGTAACCCGATCATATGCGTCCGTGAGCGTGAATCAATAGGAATCACTGAAGTGGAGATGATTGCCTACAGTGCACTTGCTGTAACAATATTTTATATGCTATAGTTACTTTATGAATGAGAACCTTGACGTACTCGTATCGAGTGATGCTCTTTCAGCGGACATCTTTTAATACAGCTCTTCCTCCTTAATTCTACCCTACCCGATCCTGTAGACCGAATGCTAAACAGTCGACTTCACCCAAAACACGTCATTACGGTTCCTTCCGATCCATTAACGGTGCTTTTAGGTGCCACAAAGACCGGTCACCGTCCTCGTCGAACCCGTCGCTTGCGACGAAGGGCTCGACGAGCGAATTAACCCATAGACACAGCCCACTGAGTTTCTAGCCGGACCTCTCAGTGGGTCGCATTTCCGATCCGGTGGTAGATTCTGCGAAGCACTGCTCTTGCTAGGGTCAGTGTTAACATCACTCTGGTTTGAGCCCCGTGAGCTCACCTACTAATTAAGGTTACGCTGAAATTGCCTCTCGAGGCTATCAGCTTATGTAGGAAAAAAAAATCTACCCTCCATAGATAACAGACTAAAATAGTATTCTTCAAAGCCATCTTTGATTACACATACATTTGTACGCAAAAATGCATTTTCATTCGATTCGTTGTTGCCGGTCCAAATAACAGTAGCATTCCGAACGAACCAAACCGACGTAAAGCGTTCGTAAAATTAATTATTACAATTACGATTTCAAATGGAAATAACAGATCGATGCGTAAACAAATTGTATTCTGTTTTGTTTTGAAACAATTAAACTGTCCTAAACGCGCGGTATCTGAAATTCAATGGTAATCGGATTTAAGAGAGAATATCGATATTTTTTTTGTCGACACTAAACGATAGGAGAGGATGCGGATGAGGAGAGCCGCAGACCGGGCTCAGTGGTGTAGATTGGGAGAGGTCTATGTCCAGCAGTGGACGACTGTGGGCTGTTGATGATGATGATTATGATGATGAAACGATATAGAGATATATTTTTTATTAGTAGTAGATAGTTTAAATGACTCTTTAAACGTCAGTAGGGCAACGTTTCTGACGTGAAAACTAGGCTTACTCAATGCTCAACCTCAACGTTTAACATAACGTGCTCACGAGTGGCGTCCCCGGCGAAGGGATGGGATAGCAGGTGGTAGGGTTGTGCACGAATAGAGCTGCCCAACAATCAGTTTATATTTACCGGGAATCAAGGAAGCATATTTTAAAGGTGGGACGATAAACATGATATATCGCGCCATGATGTCAATGGGCTCCTGATACTACTTAAGAACAGATGGTCCGTGACCCACCTCGTGCAACAATAAAAAGAAACATGTAAATAAATATTATTTTACACAATCTATATTTACATGGGCTCGTTAAAAGATTTTTTTTAAAAAAAACTTTATTATATTTAAATGACCATAAAGAAAAATAGTTGTAAGCGTATGACTCGGTATGACACGGAAGTGTGTCCTTTATAAGGGATGGATTCTTAACGAAATATGAGAGAAAAGTGGTACAGAAATAAGAAATTTTGGAAACAGCGTTCACACGAATTCATTAATGTTAACGGATAATCGACTCAAAACCCGGTGAATGTGTTTGCGGTCTAAATGGCTTAGTTTTGTAAGCCCGCATTGTAAAGCAGAGGTAGTAGCAAAAATCACAATTGACTCCGCGCGTAATCTAACTTTTGTGTTACTATACATTGCGTGCTGTGCGATAAGTTTTTTTTTTGCATAGATGGCTTAACAAGCGTACGGCCTACCTGTTGTTAAATGAGTACCGGAGTCCATGGGCTATACAGCATGATGCCACTACCCACCTTGAGAACAAATTTTCATATCGACTCTTCCCCGAGGGAAAACTGTTTCGCGGTAAAAATAAGCGAGGAACTTTATTTACAATACGGCTCACTAGTAACATTTATGGCATCGCATATGGCATTTCTAGAGGAGTTCTTGTGCCAAAGAAATTGGTCCAAAAAAGTATTAAATATTATATAAATCTTCGGTTATGGAAATGGTTCCAACGTAAATGGCGGTGAAGAAACTATTTTAATATGCGCTCTAAAAGTTTTTATATTTGTGTATAGGTACGATAGAAATTTCCATGTTTCCTTGGGTAAATTAAATTTTAAAAAAGGCATTATGTGAGCTACTTAGTTAATCTGTGGTATCAATCCGCGTATATATTATAATAATAATTACTTATCATCGATTGCACTTGAAATATTTGGTTTGTATAGAAAAATCACATGCATAATATTATTTTAGTTCCTTACTTATGTTTAGTTGTGTATTGCACAAAAACCTTTCAAATTACAAAAGATTCAATTTCTTTTAATACAAATATACCAAAAAAGTTAAAATCCATTCTCGAACTAAAACCAACGCCACAAAAAGGAGTTCCAAATCCAAGATAAATATTTTTTATCTGTACCGTAAGTGTTTCATGCAAATATTATTTGACTGGATGTCCGTTATGTTGCAAGGATTAAATGTTGTAAATAATTCGATGTTGCTACCTTGGCAAGCTTTTTATGTTCTACGAAGGGCCTTTTACATTCTTTTATATTTAAATTATTGTGAACAAAGAGTCGAATTACTAAATAGAACTGAATAAATTCGGAATAGCGCTTGACATCTGTCAAAACAATGATATCTTCAAACGAACTTTGACAGCTGTCAAGCTGTGTTTAATGTCAGATGTCTTTGTAAAGGGTCGCTTTATAGGTTGTTGTTGCAAACTTCTGTCCTGCTTGTATCTGATGACTATGAAAACTCACCGTTTCTAACTTCTATGACTACACAATGAAGAAAATGCTTGCATAACTAATAAATGTTTTGTGTTTTTGGTGCTATATTTGAAATGAAGATTGTGTTGTAAATTTCTAATCTAAACTATAAACCATCTGAGCATAGTTATTAATAAAATTATAAAGAGTTTTTATTTTGTTTTCAAATCACAAGCTTATAATCAAATATAGCTCCAATTTTGAATCGAATCGGAGGTATAAGTCTAAATTAAATTTACGAAGATCGGACATGCCTTCGATGCGAGTTCAAATCTTTGTGCTAACCTTTATAAATGTTTCTGTGTATACGACCAATAAGATTAGATGACGCACGATCTATCTCTTCTTTAGCAATTTT